AGACAAATTACAGCACTGTATTTCAGAGAATGCTGGTAATTATAAAGCAAATCATGATGTCAAACAGATTAAGATAAGCTTTAATAGAGTTCATGGAGAAAGTTAACCTATCGATAAATATCAGTACAAAGCAAGAGGCAAAATACAAGACAGTTGAGCAAATTCCTATATAGGTAGACAAACTATACGTAGGCAAATATTTAAGTTAAAAATTGGTACAAACCCTACCTCACACCACATACAAAAACTAACCCCCAATGCATTATAGACCTAAATGTAAGACCTAAAATTATAAAACTTAGAAGAAAACAGAGAAGTAAATCTTCATGACCTTGGAGTAGGCAGTGGTTTCTAGATATGACATCAAAAGCAACAGATAAACTGGAACAGAAACGGAAGCATACAACAACTTGGACTTGAATGTTCATTAAAAAGTAACCCATTACCATCAAATCGACTCCAACTCATACCAACCCTATATGACACAGTAGAACTGCCCCATAGGGTTTCCAAGGAGCGCCTGGTGGATTTAAACTGTCAACCTTTTAGTTAGCAGCTGAGCTCTTAACAACTATGCAACCAGGGCTTCTGAATGTTCATAGTAGCATTAATTCATAACGGCCAAAAAGTGGAAACAATCCAAATGTCCATCAATTCATGGTTAAACAAATATACCCACTCACTACCGTCGAGTGGATTCTGACTCATAGCAACCCCATAGGGTTTCCGAAGCCGTAAATCTCTACAGAAGCCACATCTTTCTCCCACGGAGCCACTGGTGGTTTCAAACTGCCGACCTTTTGGTTAGCAGTCAATCCCTTCAACCACTGTGCCACCAGGGCTCCTTAACAAATATACAATGGAATATTACTCACCCATGAAAAGAAATGGAGGACCAATACATGCTACAACATGGATGAACCTCTAACCATAATGCTGAGTGAAAGAAGCCAGACACAAAGGCCACATACTGTATGATTCCATTTATATGAAATGTCCAGAACAGGCAAATCCATTGAGACAATAAAGTAGGTTTTGCCAGGAGATGGGCAGGGGAGAATGGGGAGTGACTGCTAATGGGCATGGGGTTTCTTTTTAAGGTGATGAAAATGTTCTAAAAGTAAGACAGTGACGATGGCTGCACAACTTTGTGAATAAACTAAAACCCACTGACCTGTACATTTTAAAAGGGAGAATTTGATGGTATGTAAAATTACATCTCAATAAAACTGTAATAAAATAACTAGTACAAAACATGTAACACAGTAATAACTCCAAGAGTTAGTCCAATGTGTGTTAGTGCATGCAGTAAAACTAAACATTCTGCTTAATTAGTAGCTCATATTAAGCAATAGGAATAAATAGGATGAACTATAATGGAAGTGAACTTGAACCTGTTATTTCACTGCTTTTTGCATCCTATGTTCAAATTTAAAATTATTAAAACAGTAACTCAGACTCAACCTATGATCAGCTGTGTGGCCTTGTGGTTTGTTATTTCTGCAAAATATCTCTGTGGTGTGTGTTTTGTGTCATTTGCCTCAGCACTGCTATCACATCACAACTCTAGCGAGGATGGATTTTATCCTCCACACAGGAATGTGTGTGATAGGGAAAGAGGTACTAAGGGGCACTACACTAGGACCACATGGTCACCCTACTAGTCCACAAAGACTTCCACCCCAAACAAACACTGGATAAAGGTTAATTTTTAAAAATTTAATCAGCAAACATTTACTGAATCTATTCTTTGCCAGGCACCAATCTGAGCCCTGGGGACTCAGCAGCGAGCATGACAAAGATCCTGTGCCCCAGAGTTTATCTTCCAAGGTCTCATCACAAAAAACAAGACTTCTTACAACTCAGAATTCATGTTTAAGATGAAATTGTGGTTAAGACTCAACAGTATAAGGGAACTTTTCCTAGCTCTTTCCATAATGAGCCAAGTTCCCGCTGAGGGGAAGAGCCCTGGGCTCCACCACCCATCTTGGCAGCCAGCACCCAGAGGGGCTTATATAAGCAGGGCCTCCACAGATGCCAAGCTCTTCCTTCCCAGTGTTTCCACAGGTGACAGAGGCCCTCAGAGGACACCCCACAGTTCATAAGTTGTTCTACCCCTACGCCTGGCATTTGTCTGTTATCCCTTTTGCAAAACTGCAATGATTTGAGCAGTTCTTAAAACTTGAGGCCAAGAAAATCAAGGAAAGGCAGGGACCGTTTTCAGCCTGTACAGGTCAAAAGCCCACAAAAGAGCTTTATTCTTCACAGATATGAGAGTCTACTGATTTTTAGGTAATTGTGAAGATAAAATCTTTCTAAAAAGTTTCATTTTAAACATTAAACCTTAAGAACAGAGAACATAGTATCTTTTCTTACAACTCAGTCCCTCCTTCGCCTCTCCTGCATATTCTCCTCCCTACTTGACTTTCATTCACTGATCCTGAGCTGTCACCAACAGGGGCAGAAACGGGCATCTTAAGCTGCAGATATACACAGTCCTTTGCCTACATGGCAGTTTTTTGCCTACATGGCAGTTTTTTGCACGCTCTGACGTTTTTCACCCTAGTTAAGAAGGTCTTTAGTCCGACACATCCCTGTGTACAACAGTCCTTCACAGAGAGCCCATCAAATGAGGTGCCTTGATCCAGGAAACAGTTTAAAAAAAAAAAAAGTCAACTGTCCCCTTTGACACTTCCATTCTCAACACAGGAAATTTTTCTAAAACGATAGCTATTGACGCATCCAAAGGAAGTCTGTTGAACAGTTCGGTAAGGTTGCCCTCAGTTGCACTGTTGTTTCTACCATCACCTGAGAGCGGGGGCACTTCTAGGGGCTGCCCAATTCCTGAGCACAGAGGTGCTGACTCCCACTGGGCCATGCCTAGCCACACCGGTTTCTCACAGATCTCTGACAGCTAATGTCCAAACCTGAAGGAAGAATCAAATTAACTGTTACATTCCCTGCCAAAAAATTCAACTCAATTTTTAAATTCCTGTCCAAGCAATAATTCAAACTACTAGCAATGACTTTGTATTGAATTATAAACAGGAAGACAGGATGTCAATTAGCTGCATATGATTTTCAGCTTTTTACAGTCCCCACTCTTGACTGATAAGAACGCCAGTGTCCCTGTGTGGGGTGATAACCTGCTTCTCATCCAGGAGGACAGAGAGGCAGGAAAACCTGTTACTCACTCTAGTTCTGTTTTCTAATGTGACTTAAGCACATTGATTGCCGTTTTCAGTTTTGCTTTTCCTTTATCAGTTCTAGCACAAAGGTATTTGAGAAAACTTTTTAAATGGATACAGTTGTTATTATTTCCGAAACGTGTATCTGCATATTATTTATAGAGACACGCCAACACACATCTTTTATACAACAAATCATTCCTCTCATCCTCAGGAACATGGTGAAATCTATTTTTATGACAGGCCCTCATTCCTCAAAATATTATTCCTGTGACTTCTGTAAAAACCCTAAATCCTTCTGATCCCCTCAGGCATTATGAACAAACAACAATCAAGAAGAACAGAAGTCCGAAGTCTCAGACATTTGAGAGATCTCTTGCCTCGTCATAAAAGTTCCCTTACACCTACAAGAAGGAAGAAAGAACTCTCGTTACCATGGTCACACCGAGTCAAAATGTTTGTGGTCTATCATTAGCAGTGATGCCGAATGCATTTTAACTCTGCAGGTCACGATAAAGCAAATGCCTCAGAAAGAACCTGCACACACAAGTACTGAAGCATGTGGCATGAAGACGGTAACGACATACCGCACACAGCAGCCCTCACTGTGCACCAGATCCGACACCTCATATTCACACTGGGCCATGAGCAGGGACAGCGTAGAGGGACAGACCACAAGTTCTTCCAGGAGAGAAGATGCTGCAGGGAAGGCCATGTGAAAGCTGCCTTCCAGTCATGAAGGGCCGAGGGATGGCCACTCTCAGCTGAACCCACCTGCCCCTCCGATATCAGGCACCACGCATCATTCATCAACCTGCCCTGGAGATGAAGATGCAGGAGCCTGCAGAAGGTTCTGTCCCCACTGCTGGTTAAGGGCCTAGCATTTACAGATGCTGTCCCTGCTGGTTCTCAGTGCTTGGCCAGCATCCAGTCCAACAGGCACCAGTACCTCAGAGCAGTCCCTCTCCGAGCAAACCTGACTGGCTGGCTTCAGGGAGGAGCCCTTCTTCCTCCTTCTTCCCCCTGCCCACAGTACGTGACCACCCCACCCCGCAGCTGACAATGGGAGAGAGAAATGCAGAGCTCCCTGTCAGTTCTTCTGAGGAAAGCTAAGAAGAGCCACCAAAAAAAAAACAAAACAAAACAAAAAAAAACACCCAAACCTGTTGCCATCCAGTGGATTCTGACTCATAGTGACCTTATAGGACAGAGTAGAACTGCCCCATGGGGTTTCCAAGACTATAAATCTTTACAGAAGCAGATTACCACATCTTTCTCCTGTGGAGCGGCCGGTGGGTTCCAACTGGCGACCTTCTTTTTTTTTTTTTGGCTTTAACAAACAGAAGTTTATTCTCTCACAGTCTAGTAGGCCAAAAGTCCAAATTCAGGGAATCAGCTCCAGGGGAAGGATTTCTCTCTCTTTCGGCTCTGGAGGAAGGTCCTTGTCATCAATCTTCCCCAGTAGAGGAGCTTCTCATCACAGGGGCCCCAGGTCCAAAGGACGCGCTCTGCTCCCAGTGCTGCTTTCTTGGTGATATGAGGTTCCTCTGTTTCTCTGCTCGCTTCTCTTATATATCTCAAGAGAGACTGGCTTAAACTGTAGATTAATCTTGTAGATTGAGTCTGCATAACTGCCGACAGTCCCATCTCATTAACATCATAGAGATAGGACTTACAACACAAGAAAATCGTATCAGATGACAAAATGGTGGATAATCATACAATACTGGGAATCATGACCTAGCCAGGTCGATAGATATTTGGAGGGGACACAGTTCAATCCATAACAGTGTCTTAGTTCAGTTAGGGCAGTTCCCACTGTCAAATCTGACTTACATAAAATAGCAATCACAGCAGTCTTCAAGGATGCTGGAGCTCCCTTCACAAATCTGTTCCTCACCTTTGTGGTAAAGGGTATGTCCCCTGGGCACTCTGTGAGTCTGTGGGTCTAACCTGATAAATCCACTCTAACATGCCAATTGGTGACTTTTTGCTTAGCAGCCAAGCACTTTAACTGCTGCACCACTAGGACTACTCAAGAAGAGCCACAATAAAGGTTTAATTCACAGGCACCTTTCTTAGCTGCAGGTCCTCACCACCCAGATTCCTGTGGTGGGAAAACAGTTCCCAAACCCTGGTGCTGGAATCTACCCATCTACCTTCAGGAGACTCTACTTGACTAGAATGAGCAAGTGCTGTGGCCCAGTGCCTCTCTTGCCTGCCCCACGTGTCCTCAGGGGCAGCATTAGGTCAATGATGTTCTCGATTTCCAAGACAGACGAGGCTGACTGAGCTCCACTTGGCCCCCTCTCCACCAGCTCTCACCAGGTGATGGGAAGGGCTGTGGGTAGGAGCTCACTGTGAAGTCATCTATCAGCCAAGTCTTCCTGGGGCCAGTCCATCTCCCACAGGCTCTGAAAACATTTGGAAATTTGGAAGTCTGCCTCAATTAAAATAAACAATTTCCCCCGCCACAGAGAATAACAGCCCACAATAATCCAGAGTTTCTCCAAATAAATAAAATGTTATTTTTAAACAACATTTTCTGGAAGTTTCCTGGGAAACCTTAGTCCATTCTCTCAGTAATATTGCTGTTTAGAAGGCTGTGCGAATGTTTACCATGCTTTCCTGTTTGTAACTTCTGCTTTAGCAACAATAACAGCTATTATATCATCCTCTTATACGTTCTTAAAACAACAATGCAACTTGTTACCCATTTCATGGATGAGGACACTGAAGTTAGGAGATTACGTGATATGCCCCGGTCTCACAGCTGACAGGATCAAACCCCAGCTCTATCACTGAACACAGAAGTGAAGGGCAAAGCCAGTGCCCTTAGCTCCACATGGCCTGTGATAATCTGTGTGAGTAGGGCCACTCTGCCCCTTGCTCATATGACCCAGACTCGGGGGCCAGATCCTCAACCAAAAATTAATGCTGGTGGTCTGACAGTTTTTTCCATGACAATTTCTTTTCCTGTGATAAGCCTTAAAAAGCTATCTAGTTACATAGTTTCACAAGTCACTTCCACTGGGTGGTCCAGCAAAGCTGAGAGGTGTGGTCAAAGGACTCAGAGAAAGTGGAGGAGAAAATCACCATCACCCGTAACTTTGGTGCATTTGGTTCTCAGGTCTTGCATATTTTACAGGGAAATGTAATTTAAAGGATAAACCAAAGGCTGGTTAGCAGAACATCACCAAAGTGTATAATAAAGGATTATTACTCTACAAGAATTCCTTATCTCACAGGAAAATAAAAAGTCGAATTGATTTTCCAAATTTGGCTAAGGTAGGGGAGATAGGAAAGTATCTGGGATTTTCAGAAATTTCTACAAACTCCATGTCCTGCTCACATCAGCTTTCTAAGTTCTTTATTAAGGCGTATTGCAACTAAAAATTTAAAGTGGGAAAACATGAATTAAGAGGAACAACTATGCTCTCACAAAAGAATATGGCATTGAGGAGTGTTTAAAAAAATTTCTTTGGACTTCTGGGTGTTTTTTAAAACTGATCACTAACTGGGGATTACATAAGGCAATGAGACAGTCGTTCAAGTCGATGTCAAGGGAAAATGAACAAGAACAACAACATTAAAATAAATCAACTATGATATAATGGGAAATAAGATCCGACTGATAAGAACATGATGTGCATAGGATTTCACAGGCCTACAACTACTGTATTAAGCCAGCTCCTCCTATATTCATAATTAAATAGCTGAGATAGACCAAAGGAGAGCTTTGTGTTAAGTCCAGTCTCTTAGCCACTTGTGCTGTGCTGCAGAGGCACTCTGTTTGGGTCCATGAACAACGTGCAAAATGCAAAGATAAGTCTTGCTGGTTTCTAAAAAACGCCTACTACAAACAAATACACAAATTGGTGCCTGAGGCAGGAAAAGGGAGAGGCAGGGAGGGGAAGGTGGTTCTTACAAAATTCTTATTCCACAGATACCAGATGGTTCAGGTTTACTTCTTGAGTGTTTTCTTCAGCAGAATTCCCCAGTTGTAAAAGTCCACGTCTTTCTCCACTGCCCAAACACGAATGCACAATTTCTCCTTTTAGGAGAAGACCACGCTGAAAATTAGCATTGCATAAATACCGTTACCTTTTCTGGTGAAAAACTCCTTGGAATATTTTCCCAACATAGCGTATTTTCGAGGGATTTTTCCCAGCAGTTCAATGATCAATGCTATGTGATCTGCATTGGAAAACATTGCCAGCAAAACAGAAACACATGACAGTTTAATCAGTACACTGCATGCAAACACTGCCACCGCCCGCGCAGACAGAAACAGAGCGTGCCTTGGCTTTCTTCCCTGGCCAGCCAGGTTTGGGGTCAGAGCCAGAGGGCTCTAGCTGTCAGGCGCACTGCAGAGGGGCCAAACCTCAGGGCACCTGCAAGGATGGGGCCAAGTGCAGTCTCCCCTGTCCACTTTGAAATCAGCACAGCAATTCTGCTGGGGTCGCTTTTCGAATTTAGGAAAAATGCCTTTGTCACCATTAGTGCTACAATCAGCAGCTCCTATTCCGTTTCTGTCTGCATCGTGGCGCTTTTCAAAAAGAAGAGGTACTACCTCTGCGATTGAAGAATTCCCGGGAATATTTTCCAGATAGAGCAAAGTGCCTTGGGATACTGCCTAGCAGCTCTATGATGTGGGCTATGTGGTCTATGGAGGAGAGAAGAAGGATACGGGAATGGGAGGGGCAAGGGGAAGGATGGGATAAAAGAAGAGGGAAAAATTGAAATTAGTAAAAAATCAGAAATAGATTCAAATCAACAATGTCTGCAGCATACCCACGCAGAGGCTCTGGGGGCCGGCTGGTCTCAGGCACCATGTGGAGCTTAGCCAACAGTGACTGACACGAGCTCACCCCAGGGCACCCCAGCATCACAAGCAAATAAGCATGGAGATGGTTGGGTTTGCAGATGGAATTCTGGCTGGAATTCACAGGTTTTCAACTCAGCTTCCAAACAGGACAGAGAGATGGGTGGCAGATGAGTGGACGAAACAACCACTGAGAGGCTTCGGGGCTCATACAGTCTGAGCTCTTGGCCAGCCACCATCCTGCCCTGTGGGAGGCCTGGAGGGCGGGACTGCTCAGGCCTGCGAGGCTCTCACAGAACAGCCTGGGCCAGGCCGGCTCTGTCGGCTCACTGGGACGAGGGAGCTACAAACTCAAAGGACAGATGTCTGAATTTGGTGTTTGGAAACCAAACATGGCTCTACTTTGGCACAAAAAAAAACTCTCCAGAAGCTCGGGGTTCAGAGGAGACCCAGAATGAGGCACTTAGTGGACAGCAGTACTCACCTTCATCTCTGGAATAGTCTTCCCCAGAATGCGGTTCGAACAAATAATCTCCCGTTGCCAGCTCAAATGCCTAGGACACAACAGATGACATGCTAAGCACTTCACAGAAACTGCCCCCCAAGTCAGTAACTACTTCTCCTTGTAGAAGAGACCTACATTTTATGAGGATCTGAATTAAACCAAAGACACTCCTAAGGGGCTCAACACCGATTTTTTTTTCTTTCTTTCATAAAGTTCAAAGGAGCCTCAGAAATATTTTTACATCTCCTCTGCAAAGGGAGATGTAAGGGCTATATTTCCTCTTCATTTTGCAGGAAGCAGAACTGAACCATCAGTGAGTTGGCCAGCACCTGGGCAGGCCTGGCCTAAGCCCATTACATGCACTGAAAACAGCAGAGCCAGGATTCCGACGAGATTCCAGCCCAGGCCTGTCCATCTCCAGACCCTACCCTCAACTGCCACGCTAACCCGGGCCCTACACAGCAGATGCTGCTGCTTTACTTAAGCAAAGGCTTTCATGCACTAGTAATCAAGGGCTACTTTCATCACCTTGTCACGTATTTTCATCATCATTTATCTCTGACTCAAATAAGGGAAAACCTACAGCCAAAAAAGCCTCCCCCTGCCCCACTTCCCCCGGGCCATGATGAGCCAGATCACCTTGCAGCCCCCTCTCCTGAGGACAGTCAAGGACAGCTGGCTCTGAGTTATCACTGTTCATCCCTCAGCCTGGGTGTGGGGGAGGCCACTTGCTTCCATTTCTGCCAGGAAGTCTACTTTCCTTGTTTCCAAAGAAATCTCTGGACCATGTGTTTAATTTGGTAACAATATACAAATTCAGCAAGTGCTATTGCTCTGCTGACCAAATATCATAAATACACACAAAAACACATGCTAAATCCCATTTCTGGTTTGCCCCATATGTACCTGGACTTTGAATCAGATCTTGCTGTTGTGAATGGTTCTCAAGGCCTACCCCCCATTTCATTCCTGCCTATAGGTCAGTGATGTCTCTAACACCCCTTTCCTCTCTAGGGGCCTCCCTGCCCGCTCCTACCCTCCATGACCATCACTGAGGAAAGTGTATGGGCCAGCCTATCTTCTCTCTGTTTCAATGACCACAGAGTGCAGAGAAGACAAGAACACGGCTCTGCCTGGGTGAGGGGCCCATCTCTCCCAGCACTGCCATTAGCAAACTAAGAGTGGACACTGCTGGCCTGGGACCACTTCTTTTCACTTGTTTTGTTTTTAAACAAGACTGCACATGAATGGTTGGAGGAGGAGGGAAGCACCCTGCAATGAGCAATGAGCTCAGGACCCCTACCCTGAACCCGACACAGGGAACATCAGCACAGAGCCATCCAAAGGCTGCAGGGGCAATGAGGGACCAACAGACCCTGGCAGGTCCTTACTTAAGGCCTGTCTCTACCCAATCAGTAAGACAGCTGGGTCACTTCCATCAGATCAGGATAGGAAAATCTCACATTTGGCCCCAAATCCGAGAGGAATAATTGACTCACATATTCAATGGCCTGAAGAGTTTTTTTCTCGCCTGGGAAGCAGTTCTAGCCTCGGAAGCAATCAGTTCAATACCTCACAAGCCAAGAGTAAAATCTGAAAACCCTATGGGAGAAAAGACTCAAGAAGCCACTTTCATAGAAACTGCAATGAAAGCCCCAGCCACCACAGACTGTGGGTTCCCCTACTGCATGGACATGGCTCAGGGAGGTCAGGCAGTCAGATGGACACGTACTCCCGGGGGCTGAGCCAAAGACTGAGAAGTGTGGAGGAGACAAACATCTAGAGAACTCTGAAGGCAAGCTCACTAGCAGTGGCCACACAGATGCAGCTCTGAAGGCTGGAAAAGAGCATTCCCAAGAGGAAGGCCAGCCAAGACCACTCATCCAGAGGGGAAAAGAGCACACATTTCCAACAAAAAAAACCTGACTCAAAGAAGCATATCAACGAAATGATTTAAAAAAAGCAGCAAGACGGAAGTTCCCTACAATGTTACTTAGTCCTGCTTCTCTGGAGAGTGACTAGATCTTAACAAACATGACACGCATAACAGGTCAAAGAACATTACAATGAAACCACCTGCCTCTGTACTTTACAGCACGCTTTATGCTGGCATCTAGGAAAACACGAAAGGAAGCAATTCAATCAGTTACTCCCAGTACAATCTTCATTATTATTTATTTTTAATACTTGGGAACTTTGGGTTCTGAGTAGTGTGTTCTCTTCCCTCTGTACTTGGCTCTGATTGTCTCAGAGGGGTTTCCCCTGGACCAGTCTCTGTTCTTGGATTCTTGGAAGCCCACTGCCTCTCTCCTGAAGCACCTTCCCATGACAGAGTACTCCACTCTCAAGAAATGAGGCACTTATTCGTTTTGTGATATGATCAGTGCTGAAGAAGTCTGATGAAATCTGACAGACTGGCTTTTCTTGTTTCCATGGCACTCACCAGAATATTCACCGTGGGGTTCATAAAATGTTACCTTTTCAGGCACTCTGACACACAAATGCAGAAGAGTCAAAGCCTTGGCCCAAAGAGAATTTTCAGGTCATGCACACTTATACCTGAACAGGCCCCAGAGCTCAAGAAAAAGAAGATAAATTTAACAACATACCCCAAGTAGTTTGCCCAATTTTGTCTTCCTTCTTCAACTGTAGAACCTAAAGCTCTCCTCCCCTACAACAGCAAGCTCTTGTCTGTGAGTAAGAACACCCTGCTACCACATGTCAACTCTCATTTCAATCTGAGTCTCTATACAATTTGATGCTATTTATAAAACTCAAAGGGCTCTGGGCTTTACCATCTGCATTTTATTACAATCTTTATTACAGCTTTGTATTATGAGGAAGAATTAAATATAATGTTATACTTTTAAACTTCAACAAACGGTGGGGGTGGAGGAGCACCACCTCATCTCCACCAGGTTCTCTAGGCCAACAAAAGGGTCCTCTTAGCCACAGCTTTATGGGGTGGGGCTGAAGGTTTAACCCTGTCCTGAAAAATCACCCTCATGACAGTCAACTGTAAAACACCTCATAGGTGGCCCTAGGAGCACTGAGGGAACTTATGCTAAATCCTTGAGAAACAGGGCAGGATGAAAAGAAACAGAGTGAACGCTTCTCCTTAGGAGCCTGTTATTGATAGTTAAGTTACTGTTGACAGGAATAGCATTTCAAAAAGTTGGTAAGACAGGGAGATTGTGTGGAGGGACAAATCGTTATCTAATGGGAGGCAAGACAGGTAACTGGGCAGAAAACTACAGTGACAGCTACACCGGTCTTCCACTGTATCTGTGATCTTGTCCTATTTTTCTGGTTACATCATCAACATTTAACACCCAAAATTAGAAGCACAGGGTTTCAGAGCTGAAAGAGTTCTTAGAATCTAATTCAGAGCAGCCTGGATATATCCTTTTGTGTAGCTGGGGACAAGTAAGGCTTGACTCGCCAGGTCCTGAACGGGTACATTTCTCCCCCACAGCTCTGGTTGTTCAAAGTGCTTCCTCTCTTTCTACTGACCTGGACTCTGCCTCCCACTGCTCCCAGCCCTCCACCTCATCCTGCCCTCTGCAGTCACACAGGGTAAGGCAAATTCCTCCTCCAACAGCAGTCGTTAAATTCAAAGTAATTATCACATATCCACTGATTCCTTCCACCATTCTTTTCCATATATAGCCAAGCAAGGGACTTGGTTTTTGATCCTCACTGAAAAACTGAAACCAATCAATCAAATCAAATCTATCTATCTGTCTATCATTAGGATCTGGTATTATTTGTCAGACAACATGGAGAGGCACGGTGTTACAGACTTATTTGGCTATAACTGTTATGCTAACTTGAAAGACACAAAGCACCTCCTTTTTTTTTTTTTCCCATATCCTCTGGCACTAACTGTTTAGCACAATGCTTTTTAGTTTAGCATTCCAAACCAAACCCACTGCCGTAAAGTCAATTCCGACTCATAGCGATCCCACAGGACAGAGTAGATCTGCCCCATATGGTTTCCAGGGCCGTAAATCTTTATAGAAGCAGACTGCCACATCTTTCTCCTGTGGAGCAGCTGGTAGGTTTGAACCGCCAGCCTATCAGTTAGCAGCTGAGTGCTTAACCAATGCGCCACCAGGGAGCCTTACTTAAGCATTAGAAGACATAAAATACAGTAAACTCAAAAGAGCTGCTAAATTCATCTTTGAGTAAGAGACAATAATTACCATATTCTGCAATGCTTTTTCTAGTGAGAAGACAAGTGCCAATTCTTACACACATGCCCTTTTATTTAAATATCAGAGTTGAATTTGGGTAAAAAATAATATGAAACAGAAAAAGCATGAAAAAATCACCCAAGACAATGTGCTTGTACACGCGCACACGCCACACACACCCACACAAATCATCTTTTCCAGCATAAGACTACAAACTAAAGTCCCCTAAGAGGAAGGCGCTGGAATGGCCATGAAACAGGGCCAGAGAGAGAAACTGAAATTAGTTATGGGTAAGAGACCATGCAAATACCCATCAATTCACACAGTGTGAGTAAATGAGAAAACGGTGTGCTGGGATGCGGGGATGGGGTAGGGAGTTTAGACACAAATAAATTTGTGATGTACAAAATTGGCAGCAAAAACTGATATAATACATGGGTGAAAAAAAAGGCACCCTGATGACCTGAGGAAAAAGTCACCATGTTCTCTACAGGAATAAATTCAGTTGCAGGGAACATGCAGCTGCTAGTGCCCTAGAAACGCCTAGATGGTATAAAACTATAAGCTAGAGTACTCATGAGATTTTGCTTTATAAAAGGTAGATTAACCATGGGTATGTAAGGGAAATTCTTTCATTTCCAGTGAGGACACTGCATCTTCGGTCCCCTGGAATGGGTCCAACCTTTCAGGCTCAGACAATCTTCCCTGAGGGACCACTCTCTCATCTTCCTCTGCAGTGGGAGTGAAGGGTAAAGTTCCCTACAGTCTGCAAGCTTTCAGAAACCAAAAGGAATTAATTCAAGTCTTTCTGTCACCACAGATAAGGGTACAAGTCTGATTCTTGGGACTGCGGGCTGTGTAGGGCCCTAAGAAAAGAAAGACTCTCGCAAGACCACAGACAAACAAACAACAACAAAACTGCGTCATGCCTGAGAAGAATTCTTCCAACTCTTAAGACACCCAAGGTAGTAGCCTTCCCTCCACATTCCCAGTGGATAACACTCATGGTCAGGAAGGCTTAGACCACACACACTGGTAAGATTCTGCCCCGTCACGGGCATTAGAGGGATGTGCCCACTAACATGGAAGAAAATGGCAAAGGCTGTCCTTACCATACAAGCTGTACTCCAAATGTCAGCAGGTGTACTGTAACCTGCTCCTATTAAAACCTCTATGGATCTATACTGACGTGTCTGGATGTCTTCTGTGAAGTGTTTATGCTGAAAGGGAACAGACTGCATTACCACAGAGGAACACATTAAAAAGAAAAAAGTGTCTGCTAACCCATAATCATGAACAAAATGTTTTAGAAAGAAAACTTTACTTACCACCCAACAAGCATTTCCCAGGTCGGCAATTTTAACTCTAATTTTATCTGCGTTCCGTGGATCCAGGGGATTCACCAACAAGTCAGCTGCCCGAGTTTTTGCTGGCATGAGTAAACAGAAGGACAGTTAGTGATGGGGACAGGTGGTTTGTCTGTGTGAGCACAACGTCTGCCGGGTACAGTCTTCTTTTCTAGAAAAGTGATGGGGTGATCATTTAGGTCTGGAATCCTGTAAGTTGAACCCAAAAGAATTTAAAATTCTTAGTCTCTATTCTTGAAAATATTCCACAAAACAGAGAAACTGGGCTGCCCAAGGACCTCATGGACACTGCCTTGCCCTATATCCTTTTACCCCTGATTCATTCACCTCTGGGCCACCCTAGAAGAAGCCAGCCTTGCAGAGTTTCCTGTCTGAATCTTTCTAGCTGCTCCACTCCCCAGGGGCCCACATCTAGCTCACTGGTAGTTGGAGCTTTATCACAGGGAGCATAAGGTGGAAAGAATGCTGCCTCAAGCAGCCAATCACTTCCTTAGTAACAAACAGTTCATCCGACACCACGTGACTGCAAGCCCGCAGTGCCCACCCCACCATGATCTCCCTCAATTTGAGCTGAACACACAGATCTCAGGATTAAATGGTAGTCGATTAAGAAATACAGATTCAAGGCGTTAAGCTATTCTGTTTTGTCTCTGGACAAAGAAGACTCTGGAACAAAGGTGTCCTGAGATGGCTTGGGCTATGAGGGTAAACCTCTGAGGTCCCTGATCAACTTGTCAAATCTCCAGGGCACTCTCGGTAACAGGCTAGCCCCTAGGGAATCTCAACAGCAGCACAGAATCAGGCTTTCCAGGGCTTCTGGGGCCAGAAGAGCTTCCCAGACAAATCCAGACTGTGTCTGTACCAGCCACAGTTAACCAGGGGACAAGTGACAAAGAAAAATAACTTGGTGAGTCCCAGACAGAAAATTCTGAAGTGGGCCAGCATCTTCATCATCAAACCACAAACTGACCTGTAAACTCAGCTTTCTGGAAAGGATGACATGTAACTGTGGCTTTTAGAAGGCAATTCTGAAATGGTATTTACAGACTAAACAGACAAGTCTGCTCGATGAGGAACATTAAACACCCACCTCGGAAAGCCCTATGGTTTACTCAAAGCCGGGCACTGCTAAAATAAATTAAACCTCATTTTGACTATATCAGTGCTGAGGAACCATCATGACAGAGGCAGCTCTGCTTCCTCAGCAGGCCCCACGCAGGGCGTGCTTACTGTCATAGGGTGGTCAGGAGACAAGGTGCTGGGACCTACAGCACCCACAGAGCTCCGCAGGAGGGCTCCACAGGAGGCTGAGAGAATTCGGGTCAATGTTTTAACCCTCAAGACCTATTCCTTGGTGGATCAACCTTGGCTGGTCAGCCTCAGATGTTCCCTTTTTGCTACCTGACCTATGCCAACTTCCCTTCTTATAAGGACAGAGATCAACCATGAGGCCGCACCAAAGGCCACATATGAGCTGAGGAGAAGCAGCACAGGAACATGGAAACAATGAGAAAGAAAGCAGAACAGAGACATGCCAGAGAAGGAAAAACATATACACTGATAACAGGGCAGAGACTAGAATTCTAGGATAACATAAAAATGCTGACCTGACAGACAGATGGGCAACACTAGAAATGGCTAGATGAATCCCTGATGTCACTTAATCAGGCAGAAAAGAAAAAGGAATTTGAGGTTTGTGAACCTGGGTTCAAATCTAAGGTTCAACACCTCAAGTTGTAAGACTCTGGCAAATGACTTAAACTATTTGAGGCTCAGGTCTCAGGAAAGGAGGAAGAGGAGGGGATCACCCTGCCTTCTCATCTGGCTGACTGCACTGTGTGTCTAACCAGGTCCAGCGGCTTCACTTGTCTGAACCACCCTCATAATCCTGAGGCTTCTACCTGATCAGTGTGGGACCAGCCAAAGCCCCACCATCACAAAGTAGGCAAAGAGAAAAGGGGAAGTCAAACAGTGAGTTCTATCCCCAAAGCAGTTCAGCTCTAAGGTTTGCTGAAAGAAAAGGATTAAGCTACGTCTATAAAAATGATGTAGTCCCCTCAGATCATGGAAGATCTGATGGATTTTTCTCCATAAAAATGAGTTAGCTGGAAAAAATAAAATTGAAAAAAAACCAAAAACAACAGAATTAACAAAACAACTAGAAGCTGGTTCTTTGAAAAGATCAATAACTCACAAACCTTTAAGCTAGATCGACAAAGTAAAAAAGAGAAAAGACGCAAATAACCATAGTAAGAAATGAAAGAGGAGACATTACAACTGATCTGAGAGAAATAAAGAGAACTATGACAGAATATTATGAACAACTGTAAGCAACAAACTGGACAACCTAGATGAAATGGACAAATTCTTAGAAGCATACAAGCTACCCAAATCAACTCAACAGGAAATAGAAAGTCTCAACAGACCCATAACAAGTAAAGATACTGAATCAGTGATCAAAAACCCCCAAACAAAAAAAGTCCTGGATCAGATGGCTTCATTGGGGAATTCAACCAAACATTTAGAGAAAAATTGACAGCAATTCTGATTAAACTCTTTCAAAAGAGAGACAAGGAAAACACACTCCCTAATTCATTCTATGAAATAAGCATAACCCTGATACTAAAACCAGACAAGATACCACAAGAAAACTACAGGCCAATATCCCTTATGAATGTAGATGCAAAAATCCTCAACAAAACACTAGCAAAAAGAATCCAACAGCATATTAAGAGTCAACCAAGTGGGATTTATTCCAGGAATACAGGCATGATTCAATATAGAAAACCAATAAACGTAATACACCACATATCAAAAGAACAAAGGGAAAAAACCACACCATCATCTCTATGGATACAGACAAAGCATTTAATAAAATCCAACAACGTTTCTTGATGAAATCTCTCAAGAAAATTGGAATAGAAGGGAAATTCCTCAATATCATTCAGGGTATATATGAAAAATCAAGAGTCGACATTATACCTAATGGTGAAAGACTGAGAGCTTTCCCTTGAAATCAGAAACAAGACAAGGCTGCCTGCTCTCATCACTTCTATTTAATCTTGTATTAGAAGTAGTTTCCAGAGCAATAAGACAAAAAAGAAAAAAAAGAAACAAAAGGCATCCAGATTGGCAAACTATCTTTATTCATGGACAACATGATCCTAAATATAAAAAATCCCGAAGAGTTCGCAAGAAAACATCTAGAGCTTATACAAGTTGCAGGGTATAAGGATCAACAAACAAAAATCAGTTGGGTTTCCCAATTAAAAAATGGGCAAAGGATATGAACAGGCACTTTGCCAAAGAAGGCATTCAGCTGGCTAATAGATACCTGAGGAAATGCTCACGATCATTAGCTGTAAGAGAAATGCAAATCAAAACTACAATGAGACACCAGAGACTGGAACACTTAATGCTGGTGTGAATGTAAAATAGTACTACCAATCTGGAAATCAATTTGGTGTTTCCTTAAAAAGCTAGAAATAGAAGTACCATACGATTCAGCAATCCCACTCCTTGGAATATATCCTAGAGAAATAAGAGCCATCACACAAATAGATACAAACACACTCATGTTCGCTGCAGCACTGTTCACGATAGCAAAAAGATGGAAACAACCTAAGCGCCCATCAACGGATGAATGGATAAACAAATTATGGTATATTCACACAATGGAATACTATGCAACGATAAAGAACAACATGAATCCATGAAACATCTCATAACATGGAAGAGTCTGCAAGGCATTATGCTGAGTGAATTTAGTCAGTCGCAAAAGGACAAATATTGTATAAGACCACTATTATAAGAACTCAAGAAAAGGTTTAAACACAGAATAAGACATTCTTTGATGGTTATGCCGGTGGGGAGGTAGGGAGAGAGTTATTCACTAATTAGAAAGTAGACAAGAATTATCTTAGGTGAAGGGAAGGACAACACACACTACAGGGGAAGTCAGCACAACTGGACTAAACCAGTTGTTTCCTGAATACAAACAAACATTTTCAGGAACAGAGTAGCAGGTGTGGGGGTCTGGGGACCATGGTTTCAGGGGACATCTAGGTCAACTGGCATAACAAGGTTTATTAAGAAAATGTTCTGCATCCCACTTTGGTGAGTGGCAGCTGGGGTCTTAAAAGCTAGCGAGCGGCCATCTAAGATGCATCAACTGGTCCCAACCCACCTGGAGTAAAAGAGAATGAAGAACACCGAAAACACAAGGAAAATATTAGCCCAAAAGACAAAAAGGGCCACATAAACCAGGGACTCAATCAGCATAAGACCAGAAGAACTAGATGGTACCCAGCTACCCTAATGACTACCCTGAAAGAGAACACAACAGAGTCCCTGATGGAGCAGAAGAAAAGTGGGGTGCAGAACTCACATCCTAGTAAAAAAAGACCAGATTTAATGGTCTGACAGACTGGAAGGACCCCAGAAGATGTGGCCCCCTGGACTCTCTATTGGCCCAGAGCTGAAACCATTCCCAAGGCCAACTCTTCAGACAAACATTAGACTGGACTATGGGACATAAAACGATACTCGTGAGGCCTGTGCTTTTTAGCTCAAGTAGATACTTGGGACTAAATGGGCAGCTTCTGTCTGGAGCCGGCTGAATGGACACAGGAAATCCAGAGCAGAAAGGAGGACTGTGCTGTCACAGTATAGGGAGAGCAACTAGGGTCACACAGCAATGTGTGTATAAATTTTTGTATGAGAAACTGACTTGAATTGTAAACTTTCACTTAAAGCACAATATAAAAAAAATCTTCAGTTAAATGATTCAAGTATTTTCTCAGTGACCTGTAATAAACTCTTGACAACTTTGAAACTTCATGGAAAGGCACAAAAAAGAAAAAAGAAAAAAAAAAGTTGCACTTTATAAAGGAAAAGTGCTAAAAAGGTTTATTTAATATGTTTAAATTACATGGAACGTGATGTCAAAATCAAGAGAAGCGCCTCTCTTTGAGTTAAAATTGACATGTTACTGTTTCCTCTTATGTTTTTGCCTAATATTAGACAAAAAACACATAATATTATATCATAATTTTATTATATT